CTACCAAGTGCTCTCCACTCTTACCCACATCCTTAACACGCTTAATACACAAGCACATGTGCTATGTATGTAGGGGTTCAAACTACCCCCAAGATAAGATTTCAGCGAAACTTAGTGATTTGAGGTATGCCAAAATCTCAGTGTCATAAGCAGGCATAGGAACGGTGCCTAAACTCCTAGAGTAGGGGAGATGATCTACGGACATTACACTCCGTATGACGAAAAAAAAAACAAGTTCACGCGTCACTAACCTAACCACCCAACAATGTCTTCAATGGCAGTGAAGAACTTCTCTTCTTCTTTTTCTGGATTGGTGTCGTCGAATCTCAGGTTACACTGCCCTCCGTGAGCCTATAAAAACGAAGAGTGTCTGATCTGGGAAAGTTAGGTTCAGTAATGAAAAGAGGGAAACGAACACCTTCGCATATCCGAAATTGATATTAATAGCCTTCGCGTGTCCAATATGTAAAACACCATTTGGCTCCGGTGGAAACCTAGTGATGACCTGAAACTGTTGTCTTACAGTACACATGTTCAGGTACAGTCTAGTTAGAAGCCTCATATCAATCATAGTTTGAACAGAGGAAACGGTCACTATGGCCAAGGGTCGTAAATTGCAATGTTTGAATTTGTATGGACACGCTTTGAATTCACAACGAGCGACGATTTCTTTGTTTGCTGGCAACAATTCTGACCACCGAGCGGATCGAACACTCTACCTATCAATCTTGAGTCGAATGCGCTTTTATTGTGCCAAGCATTCCCAGCCCTCGGATAGAAATTCACATTTCATCACTTTTACCAAGCTTGATTATTCCCCAATGGAATGCACAGATTCATATAGAATTGACATATTCAGCAATTTCAAAGGAAATAAGCTGAGGTGGACAGAGAAGTGTTCGGGAGCTCTAAGGATACACTTGAAAGTGTAATTTTTTGAGGTTCACTATGGAGAACTTCAACACGAGCTTTCGTGCCCGGCAGCTACACCTAAGTTACTCAGGAAATTGTATGCTGTACGCGTTACGGAAGTTGTCACGTTTGGTGGGGTAGTGTGCCAATAAGCTATGAAAATCATTGAGCTGATGAGGCGGAATGTGGAGCATACGAGCGTGGTAAGCATGAGATCTGATTTGAGGCCTACTTGGACTGGAACTTTACAAAAAAACAGTCTTCTTGCGGCGAGGAAGGAACATATGATACATCAACAACAACCTAAGAACGATTTGCATTGTTGTGCCTTCCGAACTTTTCATCTGCAACCAAATGGATCCAAATGCTCGATGCAACAGTCTTCTTGAGAGGTCGCGATATGTCTTGAAAGGTACAACAATGCATACTGAATAAAATGCCGATGTTACTGGTTAGGAAGCCTAAGAACAAAAGGTAATTTGAAATTGAAATCTCACCTTTCCTCCAGTGGCCTCAAGGTGTTTCTTCAAGAGCTCTTTCGTGTGCGGGGTAGTGATATATCCATCAGTGGTGTAATTTTCGCCTACCTACACAGAAAAGAAGTTTCTCTAAGTGGTGAACCGGACGAAAAGTATTAACTAAAGGCTTATCTCAAGAGAAATTAGTATACCTTATGAAAATGAGCTCGAGATTCGCATGAGCTCTTCAATCGTGGCCGCACCATCACTTTCTGAATGTTAATGTTTCTTAAGTAGTTACTTCATTTGGGAAAAGGTACGGTTGAGAACTAACCATCAACTATCCCATGTTGGTCTGCAATGCCATTTTCCTTGGATTCTTTTTTAGCAGCGACTTTCCTTTCTTGTGGCTTCTCTTCTTTCTTTATCTGGAGTAAAGTCAGTCTACAGGTATACATTCAAAAGTTAGGCATAACTATAAAAGGTTGCTTATGAGGTCATGTAAGCGCTAATTCCAAATTGAGGCGGCGGTCCACAATGGCGGGAAAAAATCCAACCTTTTTCTTGGGCATGAGTTCGTCAATGGTTTTCGGACCAAGGAGTTCGAGTATACGAAGATCGACTTCTCTCTTTACATAACCCCCATCAGCCCACGGTAATAGTGAGCGAATTTCTCCTGAAACATATAGAGAAAAGTCTTGCTCGAGTGCAAGTAGCCTTCAGATGTGGCTGAACAGACGCATTAGTTGAGCGCCAGACTGTCTTTAACCCATTGCGTACCGCGTGCTGCACCATGTGCAGCACGCTCGTTTGCTCTGTATGGCCGCGTGCTACACATGGTGCAGCACGCTTAGTTTGAACTTATTAGGCATTGTTCGATGACTCAAGAGTGTTGGTATATTTGTGAAGTCTCCCGGAAAGAAATGTATGTGTGGGAAATAGTGGGATCAAACTAGAGCAAAGTTATTGATATTTTTTGGGAAATTCTCGAGCTACTATAACCTTTGTTTATTTCCTAGTAAGCACTCAAGCCAAAACTCTGGCTGTGACTCCACTAAAGAATCGTAAAATAGTAAAATTGGACGATCTATAGACATTTTACGTCGCATTTCCAAACCTTCTTGAATTTATCAATCTTTTTGTCAACTGTCGCGTTTTCTTGGCTCACCTTTCTTATCACGCAATACTATTCAATTCTACTTATCATATTAGTGCATATAAAAGCTATGTATAAAACGAAGTATATGCAATATCCTTATGTAGTAAAAATATGATAAAAATAACATTTGTTTATACTCGGCGCCCGCGAGTCGCGTCGAGAAAAAGGCGTCGGCCACAGGCGCCCGTTTTCGCGAAAACGCCGCGGTACGCAATGGGTTAAAGGTACTTTATTACCCCCCCCCCAGTGTTATACAGAAGGGGGTATGTGAAAGGTGGTTCAAAATCTCAGAACAAAGTTTTGTCTAAAAGATTGCAAAGTTATAAAAACAGACAGTTTAACCATATTTTCATCTCTGGTCAACATTAAGGAAACTAAATTGATATGAAGCGAAGGGCGTGTGATTATGGTGACACTTACCCAGTAACTTTCCAACATTGAATGCATATCGTTCAGTTACCAGTTGCTTCTTGTATTTCTCAATCACGCCGCTAACCTAGGAAACAGACAAGATTACCCTTGGTGACTGGAAGCCTCCATGTACGTCACCACAAACGATGGAAAATGAAAGTTGGAACTCACTGCGTCTTCAATTTCATCAACAGTCACATTCACTCCAACACCACAGGCTTTTTCTAGTGCTGCAATGTCAACATCATCGTGAACAGCATTCGTAAGGAGATAATCCAAAGCTGCGGTAAGCTGAAATGCTAAATTCATGGATGTTGTCTGCAGTTGCTCACAAGTAGACATAAGGCATCAAGCCAGAATTGGGCGTTTGTGAAACCGCAAATGGAAATACAAACGTACAGGATGGCACAAACACATGCAATCAACGCTTTTCTTTTGTACAAAAGAAACTTAGGCGGAATTATGCAAAAAATCGGACGGGGTTTAAACTGAAACAGACTGTGTGCATGGTTCTTTTCAATACAGAATGTGATCAAAATAAACTCCAGAAGCTAGAACTACAAAACAAATTCGAGGTGGTAGAACTACAAACACTAAAGCGTGGTCGCTGATGCAACTAGGTCAAGTGGAATAACCAGACAAGAGTTTCGCCGTTCGATTATCAAGATTTGGCAGTTTCTTTCCCTTCACAATTTTACTTGACTGAGTTTTCCGAACTTCCCCCAATTCTTATAAGGGTAGTGTTTTAGGCCGTAGAGCCCATTTTTGGAACTGTGTGTCGCAGATATTCATACCTAGAGCAGGAAATCTTAGAGCGCGTTCAGACTTCGCGATCGCGCGATCCGATCGCGCGATCGCGCTACTGTGGGTGAAATTACACCGGGAGGGGGTCATGTTCGTTCATGTTTATTGTTCCTGTTCTTTTTTTCCTTTTCCTTCTTTCTTCCTTTGTGTACATAACGCCCTCCTAATTTTAAGGAACGTTTCGAAATATCTTTGAGTTATTTATTATTTCCTATGTAAGTACTAAATATACAATATGCTAATTATTATACTGAATTTTGCATCTGAGTACGTTCAAGCGGAGTATTGAACATCTTGTTCCAAAAGTAAGACACGCAGAACTTTCAACAGCGGGTGATGTTGTTTCTCTCCCTTCCCCCGATTTTGCCAGTCCTCCAGATATTCACTTTACTTTTGTCACATTGTGTTTGCTTTGTTTGTTCTGCCAGGTCTATACACAACCTTTCCTTTCGACGGTTTCTGCAAACGTCAGTATTGCGAATATGAACACGGAATAAAAGACATCAAAAAAGGTCGAACTACTTTTATATCGTTTTTGGAACTGCCTATTGGAGGCAGGATACAGCATCGTGATGTGAGAAATGGTGATATCAGTACGACTCCCTTCCCAGAACTTTGTTGTTGTTTGTTGAGTTGAGTTGAACATGAACGAACATGACCCCCTCCCGGTGTAATTTCACCCACAGTAGCGCGATCGCGCGATCATCGCGCGATCCAGCGATCGCGCGATCGCGAAGTCTGACGCGCTCTTAGCTCATTTCCGCCGCGCGGTTCTGGAAAGGGACGGAAGAAAGCTCTACTTGTTCACGATGAACTCCGCAGCAGAGTGTTCTTTTTTTTGGGGCAAAAGATTTCAGTGTCCTTAATGTTGCTGTTTGGATAAAATTCTCTTTACGAGCATAAGAGATTAAAATAAACTTTGTCTCCTAGCGATTCGAACCATCAGCTTCCATCAGCCTACTGTTCACCCTTTCTTTGACCTTCCCATAAGCACAGCAAAAATGAACCGCACACAAATTATCCCCGCATGAACCTCTTCAACATGCAACACACTGTTTTGAAAATGGGCTCCACGATCTGAAACCCCTAACCGTTGTTATACACGACCCTCCCTCGATTTAGTTCCGTGGTATAATCCGCAAGCAGTTCAAAAAAGGTAAGAAAGGAAGGGAACTGGACTCATGGACATCTCAGGAAACATAATTGTAGCTAACAAAGGAGGAAATGCAATAGGCAAATAGCGGGAGAGGAGAAACGGCTAAAAACGAAGGTCGAAAGTACCAGATAAGACCAAAAGGATCAGATGAGTATAAAAAATGAAAGCTATGACGAAAAAAGACTGACGAGAAAGCAAATAGAAGGAAGACAGAGAGCTGTAATAAAAATAACAAATATACAATGGCTAGTGAAATGACGGATTTACCGTAAAAATTACGACAGCTGGATTTAGTGGAATGTATCAAAGGCTAAAGCGTTGATCGGTTTTACGAAACAGAACAAATTGACTGCTACAAACACGGAACGTAAGTAAACACGATCTTGAGAATCATAAATCAAGCCATCAATGAATTGGTAGAAATCTCACAACAAAACAAAACAACAACAACGAACATATTTACCTACCTGTGCCTCATTTCTGATTCCACCGTTGATTATATATCCAACCAGTAGAGGAACGTGGTTAGCACACTGTGGTTTAACTTTGGTCCCCAGTTGGTACAACAGCATTCCCTAAAAAGCTTTTAGGATGACTAACTGGTCGGTTTATAAGGAAACCTTTAAGTGAAGTTACAAATTAGAGCATCAAAAGTTGCTCAAAGCTCTAATACGACGATAGCTACTCAATCAAAGCTCATTCAGTAGTGAGATCTATCCACAACTTTTTCTAGACGCAACATGGTTCCCAGCAAAAATGAATTTGCCTTTGAATGAGCTTCCTAATTTGCCGAAGCTCAAAAGTAAAACAACATCAGCTGAAAACACCTTCATATATTGCGACTCTGCAGAGTGGAAGAGCAGGAGAATCAGCAAATGGGGAGAACGCGAGCTAGCGTAAGGAACTGACCATCATCCACTCCTTTAGAGCGCTTTCCCCAAAACTGACGGACTGCCGAATCCCCTATTCTTTTGAGTCGCGAAGTATCAACGCGCTTTCGGGGAAGCGGCCTAAATTTGATAGGCTACAAGTTTCATAGGCAGGTAAAAGCCCTTAATACTTGCATGCAAGTTGAACCGTTGAAGAATATCCAATCGGAAAGGCCGAGGAATGTTTAGATGCGCCTCAACCAAAAAACACAGGGTCGTGCCTGTATTGTAGCCCTTCAACAGTACCCTCATTTTCTGTTGATACGCGCCTATCTATTCTCAAAAATTTTCAATTTTCCTATGTCCACGTTGTGAATAACAACCCCGAAGAAGCAAGAGGACGCTTTGATACCAGCAAATCAAAAGCAGGCAATGAAAAATCTTTATATAGGCTAAGCGTTTAGTCTGCGCATAGCAACAGGTAGTCGTCCCTGCATAGGAGACAAGGGGACTTTTCTGCTTGGCTCTGGCCGACCAATAACAAACCGTTATATCGCTAAGCGTTTTACAGGATTAACCTCCTCTATCTGGTTGTGTTTTACGCATGGACAATGAAGGGATGCAGAAACGTAAAGGAAATAGCGTTAATCACGGGAACCTCAGTCGAATTACTCTTTGATATCACCCATGCCCAGTTTACGACAGAACTGATCCAGGACTATTCGTAGTAGGTTGACGTAAACTGCTCCTCTGGGGGAACAGAAAAGCAAAAAGGCGGGGGTAAGCAAGATCACGGAACTCTACACTGAACTGGCGAATAACTTCGAACATAAGCTTTTTCGAGATTTGCTCGGTATTTTCTAAATGAGGTACTTCAAGTTCAACAGTGTCCATTACAACGAGGGCACACCGGTCATTAATATATGGCCAATCTTCCT